CAGTTTCCACAATTTATGCCCTGCTATAGCTGCCTTTAGTCAACCGTAAGTGAAGTGACTGTGAAGGTCAGAACGTCTGGGAGCGAGCTTAGCTGCACAGTGGTCGGCCACACAAGCTCACAGAAAGGGACCTGATCACCCAACATCACTCAATCCAACCTGAATTGTTTTTAAGATAAGATAGATCTTTATTGTCACTATTACAGAAATAGTGAAAAATAGTTTAGCAGCTGTCTGTTTAGCAGCATAGAAGTAATAAATAGCAGCATAAATCAATAAATTAGAGAATAAAACACAAAAAGAGACAGACATCCTATTATAGAAAGAGTGTCTTAGTGCAATGAGCGCAGTATGTTAGTCCATATAGAAGACAGTCATTCAGGGGGTGGGGAGTGGGGGGTGGGCGCATTTTACTGCCTGTGGGTAAAAGCTTTTGTTAAGTCTCTTTGTTCTTGCTTTGATTGACCTGTAGCGTCTGCCAGAGGGGAGGGGGGAGAAAAGATAGTGTATTTGCAGTGTCTTTGCAGTGTATTTGCAGCAAATCCCACCCGCAATGTTCTAACATGTAACACAAAGCCGTCCCAGAAGAGCCCAGGCTCTTATAAAAAACACAGTGCAGACCAACTTCATATTAATGGCCTTGGTTGTGAGACGGGATGTTGGGCAGGCTGGTCAACACATGCTTTTGGCCATTTATCTGTTTGTTGAAAAGTATGATTTTTTTTGTGGAAAAATAAGCAAACATGCAATCTTCAAATGCCAAAAAGTATACTTCCACTAAGTTAAATGAATTAACTGCATTAATGTCAGCTCTGTGATCAAGTGGCAATCATGCACTCCTAATTTCGATCAATCCCCCCACCCCCCCCAAAGGTAAATCTAACTTTTAACTATGACCCTGACTATCAGAGTGAAGTTGTCACCACACAGGTCCTCATGCCATGATCACAAATACATCAGGAATAAAAACTGTCTGCTTTTTAAGCTGCAAATTGTCGTAATGTTTTTTTTTTTTTTTAACATGATAGGACAAACAGCAGCGTTTCTCAACCCGGTTCTCAGGGACCCCCAGACAGTCAACATTTCTGCTCCCTCCCAGACAGTCCACGTTGTTGCTCCCTCCCAGACAGTCCACGTTGTTGCTCCCTCCCAGACAGTCAACATTTCTGCTCCCTCCCAGACAGTCCACATTTTTCCTCCCTCCCAGCTCCCAACACACCGGTACCAGGTATTTAGTGTTCTTGATTGCCTGGGAGTTGAGGGGGACCAAAAATGTAGACTGTATGGGGGAAAATGTAGACCGTATGGGGGTCCCCAAAGACTGGGGTAAGAAACACTGGCAAACACATTTGGACCTTAATCTTCCCAGGAGTAATTATCATGGCAAAATCTCCCAAAGAGCAACTTTTAAAATTGTCCAAAAATGATGCTGTTCAGACCTTGTTGTTCACTGCTAAGATTAGTGTCCAGTTTTGCCAAAAACAGACAGATTAATCTTGGATGAAATGGTCTTTACTGTGTCTATTGAGAAGCCAATAACTGTTTTCGACAACAACTACCTCATACCATCCACCATGTGTATGTTTCATTCATGGGCTTGTTTGCTGCATTTTGACCTGTAGGGCCATAATTTCTGCTTTGCCAGAGAATTTTGCAAGACAGTGCCAGACCGTTCACCTGTGAACAGAAGCAGAAGTGGGTCATTCAGCTGGCCAGTTATAATGTAAACACACTACATTATGCATTAGAGTGGTCAAAGAACAATATTTTGGGATAGACAGTTAAAGTATTGAACTAAAACCTAGTTTCAGGGGGGAAAATGATGTAAAACATGTCACTGAGTTCAGAGAAGTGCTATATGGAGGAGGAGAGCAAAACTCTGTGGAGCTGTGAGAGACCAATCGATAACTGAAGTGCTTGGCTGCAATTATTGCTGCTAAAGGTCATGTAAACATTTACCAAGTGTAAAGAGATGATGGGTTCTTCACACAGGGACACTGTGTGCTGCATAACCTTCCTTAATAAACAAAGATTGAAAAATGAATGGTGTTTTTTCTCTGTTCGGTATTCAGTTTTGGGTCAAGATCTGATTTAGCAAACAAGCACAGTTAAAAACAAAAAAAAAAGAACATTTAAATAGTCAGCAGTGTCAAACATTTTACGTTATCTTGTTAAATCTACAGGTGCCACATGCCATGTGAAAATCATGAACCGGCATCTAGGGGGAGCTATTGTACCTGTTCCCCCCCCCCACTTTCAACTTACAGCAGCTTTTGTTCATTAACTTGAAGCTAAAACGCAGTTGTGAAACTGCCATGTCAGTTTGTAAGATAAGATAAAGAAACTTTATTACTGACGGTTTAATAAAGCAGCTATGCACTTAATATCAAAATTTACTTACAGAGGCTCGTTTCTGTTATCCCCTAAGGATAATGCACATGCAGAATTCCATGCAAGACTCTTACCAGCTTAGTTACTTCACAGGGCACCTATATATTGCTAATTTAACAAGTTGCAGCACCAGGATTTATCGGAATAAAAACAAGGAAAAGCTCAAGGAAAATAGTCTTTCATAAATCATGCATACATTTTTCCAATTCATTAAACATACTTGTGATACATATATTACAGTTGCATGTGAGTTAAATTGTATGGTGCATATAGGCTATGTTCACACTACAGGACAAATGTGGCCCAAATCCGATTTTGTGCTCATATGTGACTCAGAACACATATTTTCACGACAATGTGAACAGCACAAGTCACATGGAATCCGATTTTTTCAATTTTTCAATTTGGGCCACTTCAGTATGAGGTCATAAATTGGATAGAGGTCTGATTTTTTGCAATGCGACCTCAGTCTGAGCAGCGAAATCAGAATTCATGCAACTTTTACGTCACTCTCGATCGACGTTCGTCAATTCTGTGCAGACGGAAGTCACCATATGTCTCCGTCAGAGTGCCAAACACGGAGGAGAGCACAGAAGTTGGCCAGTGGAGGAACAGTGAGGTGCTGGATTTAATAAGTATTTGGGGAGATAAATCTGTTCAGGCAAAATTGGAAGGTTCATATCGGGCAGTTTTCGAAACAATTGAAAAAGAAATGGCCAAACGGGGTCATAAAAGAACGTGGCTCCACGTCTTTGTTATTGCGCAATGCGCGTCATTGCATCTTCGTTGTTTTGTGTGCACGCGGGCCAGTTCAGTATAGTGAACCGTTCACATTCAAATCTAATATTGCCCACATTAAAAAGAGTAATGTGAACAGGCAAACAAAAAGTCTATCTGAGCAGAAAATCAGAATTGAGCATTAAGGCCTGCAGTGTGAACGTAGCCTTACATAGCAAAGTGAATGTGTCATGATCTGTCCGGTACCTCCTCTGATATGACCAGCAGGGTTCGCTCTCTCGGATGAACACCTGGAGGGGAGGAGAGATCCCGTGGTATGGATGATCCCCGAGGCCAGAACCCTCTTCCTACTTACCGGGAGGGTGCTGTCTGAACTCACCCTAGACAAGGAACTCCAGGAAGCAGAGAAGGTCCTGCTCCTAATGGCCACGGCTCAGCCCATCAGTACCCCACAGATTCACCCGGTGGCTCCCAATTGCCCCGGTGGCTCCCAATCGCCCCCCACCGTGGCTCAGCCCGTGGTCTCCCCCGGGGTGGCCACCAGTGTCATCTGGGGCCCAAAGGAGGGGCTGGCCAAGTCTTCATCTCCTGGAGGAGGAGACTGGAGCACACTATCTGTGCCGGCCACCCAGACTCCCGGTCACTCAATACTGTCCGTCCGGGCCACCCTTCTGCAGAAGCAAAGGTGAGGGGACACGTGGCACATTCCAGCTCTGCTCTGGTCTACCTGTCCCCTCCATCCTGCTTGATCCCCTGTTCCGGATCTCTTTCGTGTCGCCATCTGGCCTCAGCCTACGCCCTCTGTTTCTGCCTTACGTCTCTCCATATCAGTCCCTTTTGTCCCTCTATATATCCGTTTGTGGTGTTTTTGGTGTCTCCTGTCACCTCTCTGGTCCCTGGTCCTGCCCTTGCTGGTTCTATGCTCCTAGTCCTGCTGTTTGTCCTATCCTGTGGTTCTGCCCTTCTTGTCTTGCCTGGACTCCGATCATTGTTTTCAAGGTTACCTCGTGTTCCCAGTCCAGTCCTGTGTTGCGTTCTGGCTTCTGTCCCTTTGGTCCAGTTACGGGTCTCATCTGGTGTCCGTCCCATGTGCTCTGTTGATCCAGCAGTGCCCTGTCCCATCGTTGGCCCCATCTGTCCTGTTCTAGTCGTAGTAGGGTCTTCTGTGCCTGGAGTGCTCTCTTTGGGGGGGGGGGGGCTTTGTCACAACCTGTCCAATCCATCCCCTGATTTGACCAGCAGGGGCCACCAGAACCCTCCTCTTGCTTCCCAGCTATGTCCTGTTCCTGATCCCCAGTTCTCGTGTGGTAAATATCAACGCCTGATTCATATCATTCTCTCGTTATTCTGGTATATACATGCTTCCCAGTCCTGTCTCCTCCAGTTCTGTCATTGTTCCCTGTCATCGGCCCAACGACTTAAATATTAAATAAAGTCCCCTTGGGGAGGGGGTGTTCCTCAATTCACGACTGCATTCCGGGATCCCTTCCACCACCTTAGGACACCACAGAATATGCATATTAAAGTATATTTCACAGAAGCGTTTTTGTAAAATCACTGCAACCTTGTACTTGACAAAAGATGCATGGATGGATGAATGAATGGGTGTAAAATGTTCTGACGAACATTATTAAAACAGTGCTTTAAAAAAGTTTTACACATCTTCATTGAGGTGGTTGTACAACGCGTTCTTTCAGAATCAATGGGAAAACAATACTAGTCAGGCTTACATTTGCATTAGTCGTATGTCAGACAATCATACTTGAGATGACACAACTGGACGTTTATCCCGATTGCCGTTAGTGTTTTCTTTAGCCAAAGAAAAAACAGCACGTGTACGAAATTGAAGGGTTAGTCAGACGTTAACATCAAGTCCATAGTTAATCTTTTCCTGGGGGTAAAAAAAAGCGATAAAGGCGACCGGTTGTAAACATTGCGCACCTGTACTGGCGCCTTTCCGCCTTTAAAGTCAGAAAAGAACAGAATACGTTTTGTGAATTTTTGACATGGCTTTTGCTTTCGGAAAGAAACTCTGGTGCGTCAGAAAACAACTAATTATTATTCTGACACCGTTCTTACTTCTCCCCCTGATTTTCGCTCTTCCGGCAAAGGTAGGAGATTTCTTTATTACAAGTTTAATACATCACATTGACTTTGTATTTGGCAATTGCGGCGTTGTGGTCATTGAATGAACAAGTAAGTTTACTAAAATTAGGTTCAGCAAGCTATAACTTCCGACAGATAAGGTTATTCAATAATAATAAAAAAAAAAACTTGTCCGTCTGTTTCCGTCTCATGTTACCTTATGCAACAATATTTTGTTTGCACATGAAATTTATCGCAATCACGTGCTTGGTCCTCAATTGTCTGGGATACTGATATGGTCATGGGTTCATTCATGGTTCATCACTTTATGACAACTTTACTGCTCTTTGACGTGATGAATTGAAAGAAACACCACATAAAAGTGTTTGTAGTATAGTATCTGCCTCATTTGTACGTCGCTTTGGACAAAAATGTCTACTAAATTCATTTAAATGAATTACCTTCCACAATCAGAGGTGTTCAATGAAAAGCAACAATTTTTCGGTCTAACGTACTCCGTATGTATAATAGCACATACGTAAATTATTTTTTTGGTAACAATCTATTTTAACTATTTGCTTAAAATGCTACAAAAATAATACGTAGTTATAGTTTTGGTTGTAAAATGTGGAATCTGAACAATATATCAGTTTTGTAAAATAGTGTCCTTGGTGTATCATAGGCCTGCTATTCTCTTAGTGCACATATAAAAAATGTAGAACAACCAAATCATTGTAAAATATATACGTTTGTTAAAAAAAAACTGCAAAAACAGACCGCCGAAAGCAGTCCGTTTTTACCAAGAATCCCTGGCTTGTACAGGCATGTACAATTTGGTAGAAGCATGGAGTGTCCTCTAAGAAAAAATACTTTAAATAATTTTAACTGAGAAAAGCAGAACGTTTTCCCCTAGCTAGAAATTAGACAACTGTTAGGGAATTATGGGGAAAAAACAAGTTTGTGTCTGTGTCCAGCTAAGAGCTAAGAGGTTTTTTAGAATACATTTGAATTTGTGCCTAGTATGCACAAATTTTAACCATAATCCAACACACCTCGTGTTTGACCATAATCCAATGCGCCCTGTAGAGCTGCAAGATTGAAGCTGCACACCGTTTATATAACGTAAGTTAACAAATATTGAGAGAGAATATATCCAGAACCATTTCTGGATGAACAGACAGATAGATAGATACATACTGTACATATATACATACATTATTAATCCCAAAGAGAACTGCAGAAGTTTATAAGACTATATATATATATATATATATATATATATATATATATATATATATATATATATATATATNATATATATATATATATATATATATATATATATATATATATATATATATATATATATATTCTAAGACATATGAAATACCCCCTAGTTGTTATTTATGTTTGTCATAGAGAAAGCTGGTCAATGGGAGTGTTAGGTTTCATCATCCACTCTTAAGGTAACAGACCAAAACAAAAACATACTTTGGGGGCAGGAGGTTATTTACTGATGGTGAATCAGAGGTATGTGTGTAACAAAACTTTATACAGGCACTAAGACAAGAGACATTTCACTTTATGATCACCTTTATGATCACTTTACCTTATTATTATTACTTGTCTTTGTCAGGCAACTGCCACTATTCCACAACTGACACACGGAGCAAATACAGCTCTGGAAAAAATTAAGAGACCACACTGTATTATTTATTTAAAAATCTGCATTTTTAAATCCTGGTTTAATCCTGGTTCTGCTGGCAGAAGGCTACACAACAGGTTGCTTCCAGGCTCAAAATTTCTAAGGGAGCTGTACATGTGAATAAGGTGAAGCAGGAGACACTGGGAACAACCAGAAACCAGCCAGGTGGGAGGGCAGAAGCCATTTCTAATGCCAGAGATGACCGTTAACTTATCTGGCAGTTTCTCATGGATCGGAGGATGACATCAAGTGATTTTCAAAAGGAATGGGAAACATTAAGTGCAGGTGTGAAGTGCACTGCTAGGACAGTTTGTATCAGGCTCCTAGAAACAGGACTGAAGTCCCATAAAGCAAGGAAGAAGGCCTTCATTAATGAGAAGCAGAGGGGAACCAGGTTGCAGTTTACAAGAAAAAATATATTATTCACAGATGCACACCCATAAATTGAGAAACAAAAAACAAAAAAATGTGCTGTGGTCTCTTAATTTTTTCCAGAGCTGCAGTGCAACAGTAAAAAGGAAAACCTTAAGTAGGGAATGGGTGAAGTAAGATGAGTAAGGGTGAGATGGAGGGATGACGGTGAAGAAAGCAGGACAGAGGGAGTGTGAGAACTAGAGAGGATGAGGAGGTTCTAAGGCAAGAGGAGACGATTTGGAGAGTTATGGATATCTAGGCAACGGGGACTCCAAAAACAAGGAGCCACCCAAGGGACAGATCAGTCACCAGAGCGGTGGAGTATGGAATGAAGAACAGTTTGCTCAATCCTCTGTGTGCTGTAAGTTGATTTATATATACCGGTTCCTTGTTGAAGGACCTTTTCACTTGCATGACATTAGACGAGGACAGTACGATTTTTTGAATAACATCAACTTACTTAATGTGTTTAATTACTGGTGGTCATGCAATTTGTTTCTGTCCTAATGGTTTCTATCTTCCACCATCACAACCCTGTAGGAGGGAACTGACGTCTTGCGGTTGGTTTTCTTTTCCAGGAAGGGAAATGCCTGTACGTGGTGCTGCTGATGGCCGTGTTTTGGTGCACGGAGGCCCTGCCTTTGGCCGTCACTGCCCTGTTGCCCATCTGCCTCTTCCCAACACTGGGCGTCTTGCCCTCTAAGCTAGTCTGCCCACAATACTTCCTGGAAACCAACTTCCTGTTTCTCAGCGGGCTAGTGATGGCGTCAGCCATTGAAGAATGGAACCTGCATCGCAGGATTGCTCTGAGGGTCCTGAAAATCGTTGGCGTAAAGCCAGCCTGGTGAGTCATGCTGTCCTACTCTCGATGAGTTATCACCTTTTTACGGAAATACTCTCCTGTTAGTTACGCAGCATTTGTTTATCAGACCCTTTTATCCAAAGCGATGTTCAAACATCAACCAGCCAGACCCTGGAACTATTGGGAGTTAAGGGCCTTGCTCAGGGCCCAAAAGTAAAATATCACTGCCGACCATGGAATTTGAAGCAGCTATCTTTCGATCTCAGACACAGTGGCCTAATGCATAGAGCGACACACTATCCCAAAACAAAAATCTAACAATTCCAGCCCCAGGCTTGAACATTGATACCCCAACACCACTCATTAACCATTTGAGTCACCCTGCCCTTTAGCTTTCAGCAACCAATATCCAATTTTTCATCTAAATTATCCTAATCCTACATGTGTTTCCCTGCGGAAAATTTCCCCGAGCCATACGGTGGATTACTAGCTCATGGTCGCAGGTAGTGCTGTTAAAAGTTCTAGCTGAATTTCACGAGGAAGTCTTTGTGTTTTTGATCTGTTTTCTCCAGAACTAGGTGCAGCTCTTTAGCATGACTGTGTTTACCTGTGATACAGGCCTGACTCAGTCTTTCTCTGAAATGGTTCCTGGACGATTCTGGGCATGATGATCACCTGTTTACCTCAGCACCTGTTTACATCAGAACTGTGTTCTCCAGCTCAGCCATAATGGGTGTACCTGTGATACAGGCCTGACTCAGTCTTTCTCTGAAATGGTTCCTGGACGATTCTGGGCATGATGATCACCTGTTTACCTCAGCACCTGTTTACATCAGAACTGTGTTCTCCAGCTCAGCCATTATGGGTGTACCTGTGATACAGGCCTGACTCAGTCTTTCTCACTGATGATTTGCCCTTCCGCCAGGCTGGTTCTGGGCATGATGGTCACCTCATCGTTCCTCTCCATGTGGCTCAGCAACACAGCCACCACAGCCATGATGCTGCCCATTGCCAACGCCATCCTGGAGAGTCTCTTCGGAGATCTACAAACCTTGAAGGAAAACTGCAAGCTTAATAGGGAGGAAGAAGGTAACATTCTTTTAACTGCAACAAAATGTGTGTTTATAAGGTGGGAGGGGCTTGATTCCGAGGTTTCTTATTAACATAATTGGTGTTTTACTGTTAGGGAGTCTTGTAGTCTGGCCAGGAGACATGTCACATCCCCCAAAGCGTTTCCTGTTGTTACTCACCGGTAAAACGCTGCGTCTGTGTTAAATGTTTGTGAAACTCAATACTTTGCACAACATGGCCCATCAGTGACACCCATGCAGAAGCAGGCTGTAATGGCTGTTATCCAACATGACAGACTTCATACGGCTTCATCGTGAAGAGTTCTATTCTAACTTTTACTTCCAGCTTGGAACTTCATCCAGTCCTCTATACATTACATTCCTGCTTTTGACATATTTGTATGTAAATGCAGAAGTTCCACAATAGGCACCTTGATTTCGGGGAGGTGGATGAAAATGCCATTACCTCATTATCTACCGGATAATAATGGAACAGCGCTGCATTTTAAAATGCCATCAAAATACAGTATACCGCAGTATAATGTCTGGAATGTATGATGGGGTTGGTGTGCCAGCAGTGAAATTGCTAGTGAAAACCACCAATTGCTATCAAAATTTGTCAATGGTCATAGGCTGTAGTTTTTAAAAATTGCATCATGTGCAGGAAACAATTAGTAGAAATAAACTGTATATATCAAAAGAGAAAAGTATGACTTGTTGCATTCCAGATAAGAACTTTTCCTGATAAGAAACCAATTATCGTCAGAATTAGCAACAGATAAAGGTAAAGGTTTATTGTACCATAATACTAATTCTTTACACTTTATAGGCCTATCACCAGTAAAGCTGCAAGCCCTGACATCTGAGAAGGAAATACTGACAGTAGAAGATAGGTAACAAGTCACAAAAAGCAGTTTTTAAGATGCTACACTTTTACACTCAGTCCTCTGGTGATCTGACGCCATCCTGTCATTGTCCCTGAAGGCCGGACATGAGGCAGAAACCTGAGGGTCAGACTCTGGAGGAAATCAGGACAGAATCGGAGTATCAGCTGAAGGTGTGGAAAGGCTTTATGATCTGCATCCCTTATGCAGCCAGCATAGGGGGCACTGCCACTCTGACAGGCACTGCTCCCAATCTGATCCTCGCGGGCCAGTTAAAAAGGTACCACGTCTCTCCAGTGCGTTCCTCCCTTCGCCAAGCCTGGCCCTCTGTGCCATTCACCACTTATCTGCTTATCTTTTTTTGTCCTTGCTGTTCTCCCTCGCTCACTCTCAGATAGCTTTGTTTTTCAGATAAGTTCAGGCCATTTTTGAGGTGAGCTACATTTTTTCTGGTACAGATTTCATCCAGACCTGTCATCCGTGCTGTCGGTAGTGATTAATTTTCAGCTAGAAATTCACCTTGGGGCCCCCTGGCCAATTTTACATATAATTTCACATATTGAAGGGCCCCTTTTCAGTACTACCACCCACCGCCCCCCACCCCCCCGAATCTGCCAAGATATATCCATGTCCCTACTGTGCCTCTGACTTTAGCCAAATATAATTGCCTGATTTTCCTATCGTTATAAGTAACAAAAACAATAAGAAAGTCTTGATAACTATTAAGAAGAGCTCAAAACACTGGGGGTGAAATGCATTGTGTGGGTGGCGGCTGGTTAAAAATGGCCGGTTGGACCTGTTCCGCACCCAAACCACACACCTGTGCGGCACCTTCACTCAACAAGTGCAGTGCAAGTTCCTCTCTGATCAGCTGACTTTTTAGAGTTCAGTTGAATGCAGGAATGTCTAAATAATATAATATAGTGTACAAAAGACAAAGGGACAAGTTGGGGCACACCTTTGGCTCAGCTCTGCTTCAGGAATTAATTTGAAATACCCAGTGTTACCCGATTATATAAAATACATAACAATCTGTTTTGTTTACAGTTATTTCCCAGACTGTGACGTAATCAATTTTGGCTCCTGGTTTGTGTTTGGATTTCCTCTCATGCTGCTATTCCTGGTTCTGGGGTGGATCTGGATCTCCTTTCTTTACGGAGGGCTTAACACCAGGTAAACCTCTCTGCCTCATACTGGAACTGTACTGCTCTGCTGCAAAATGTGAGCTAATCCATGCAGTTGAAGCGCCACTGTTTTAGCAGCGGGGGGAGGGGGGGGTGGTTATACGTAAGGCTGGGAGCGTACCTAGAAGTTCTGAGTCCCTGGACAAAATGTCATTACGGGCCTCCCCTGCCCAATTTTACATTAGATTGTATATATTCAAGGGCCCCTGTATTTAAAGGGAATTCCTTAACTGAATCTGTAACTTTATTGTGTTTTGGTACCAAACGTACCCTTTGGAAGCAGAGCCAAAGATCAGGACCAGCTTCATGAAGCTTAGCGCATGGTTAGCTTGCCTGTAACGGCACATATCCCCACCCTAATATTTTCCCTTTACTCGTAAACTGTTTTCACTTAACGAGGCATTACTATGGTATGTCCCTATTTACATATTATTGAAGCAATTCATAAAAGACAGCGTCATGCAAAACTTTAGATGAGTTTCATTCTCTTGGCTAAATTTCAGTGGTTTGACGCCTGGTGGTTTGTTAAATTTTAGACGCTACACATGTGTTAGTGATCAATAATTTTGACAGCAATACCTACTCTGTCAATTACTATGCTTATTCGGTAAGGATTTACATTATCTGCACCTTCATAATACATTAATTATGCATTCATAGGACAAACATATGCAGCATCTCAACAGCATAACATATTTTAACAGTTTAACTATTCATTAATAATAAGCATTATTTGATTATAACAAACATCATAGTTTTATATATATATATATATATATATATACACACACACACACACACACCCTCCCAACAAACACAGCAGCATTGTTGACCTGAATGTATGATGAACCTGTCTGGACAAAAGTCCAGGGCTGATTTTAAATCCCAGTCCATCCCTGGTTACTATGTGGCCCTAGCTGTCTCTATGGGTGATTTGTCATCAATTAAGACTTACTTCTATTATAAATATCATATATACAGTACAAGGCCCACAGACAGCGCAAACTTTTCAAAGGATGTGTAAGTTTGTGTATTTTATATCCATTGTGCATCATAAACATTGTAATATTTGTCCCATTCTGGATGTTTCTTCCATAACAACAAATTCCCTTTTTGGGAGTTGAATCCGCAACACCTTGTTCGCCTCTGACGCCACCGCGATGGCGTGACCATGAGTTGTGCAGTATTTGTAGCTTGTAAACAATTGCAGTGATGTTTCAAAATCATTACGACGGTGATTTTCCTTTTGTTGTCACTTGCTGCTGCTGTTGCGTCACCGTGTTGTTTTCCTTTGCAGACTCTGTGTTCAAAAGCAGGATCGGCGAGCAGAAGCCGAGAAACAAGCCAAGGCCATCATTGATGATGACTACAAGAAACTCGGATCTATGAAGTACGTAGCGTTAAATCAGCCCTGTGTACAGAGTGCTGAAAAATACAGCAGATTGTGAACCTCGTATTATAATAACTAGCAATTTGCTAAAGCATTGGTTAACGGTTTACCTTATTCACACATTTATGTTTTGTTTTTACATCCATCCATCCATCCATCCATCTTCCATAACTGCATACCTAATACAGGGTTGTGGGGTGTTTTGTAAATAATGTGAAACATGCAAGTAACTATTAAGATAATTGATTAAACCTGGGAAGAATGTGGATAGAATTCGCTTTCACAAACCTGGGAAGAATGTGGAAAGAATCCGCTTTCACACAGATTTCGTGAATCACTGAGCAACATCCCATCATTGAGTTTAGTCAAGTGGCCCCTTACTGTCATAAAATCCATATATAGGCACACAGTGGCATGAGATAACGGTCCCCCATACAACATACAAACAGCAAGTGTCAAGGGCAGGGTTTTTGTAGGACTTAAACTGCAGAACACAGTATGAAACTGGGGGGCTGGACATGAGGGTTTATAAGGGGGGGGTAACAGGAAGGGGTAGGCGGTGAGGTGGGACAACGGGTGTCTAGTGTCCTGATAGCCTCGATGGAGAGGCTGTTGTTGAACCTGGCAGAACTGGCTTGTAGACTACTGTACCTTCAAATGGAATCCCATAGAAATTCTGGGTGACTAAATTTGTATTTTGTGCAAAAATAGTACCATGACTAGAAGAATAGGTTTCATTGCCTTTGAGAGAAGGGTGATTAGGGGCTGGGTTTAAAGGGAACTTCAGTGAAGAAGACTGCTCGCTTTGTTATTGTGAAGGATGAGGGAAAGGTGCCATAGGTTTAGGTAATACTGTGAGTAAACCACCCCCTGGATGCCTCCACACTGGTTCAAGATGAAAGGTTGACCAGACAAGAAGTTCTGAGCCAGTGGGCTGCAATATTTTATCAGAACTTGACCGACAGATGTTATCTGGAAACCATGCAGTTTCATTACTATCAAAAGAAGCTTTCCCAGTAAATTGGTTAACACACCACAGGACTGGTGATCAGCTGAAATGTAACATGGTCAGATGAATCATCACTCATCCAGAAAAGGCATGTGTGGCGTAAGCCAAAAGGAGCCTGCAGGGTTGTTGATGTTGTTGTTTTTGTTATGGTGTGGGATTGGATTTCCTGCTGTGGTTTAGATACCTCAGTAAACAAGCTAAAAGCTGATAATGCACACATTCGACCTGTGGTGAAGCATTTCCCTCTTAATGAAAGTGGAATGGCCCAGTATGACAATGAGCACAACATTGTACAAGTATGAGTGCAGGTACACAGCAATTCCTTGTCGTATTTGCGTGTCCCATCATGCTCTCCTTCGAGAAACAGGTAAGAACAAATCTTGGATAGAGAGCCTAGAGCCAGTCAATTTTCCAGTTGTTTTGTGGTTAAGGGCTATACTCAAGAACTTTGAAGCGACTGTTCTGTTGCCCATGGCATTTGAGCCAACAAACTTCTGATTACAGACACAAAAGCCTAAATTTGCAGAACCATAAACACCACACCCATTTGCCAATATTAAACAAATGCCATTAAGGTCCATGTAAACAAATGTCAACTGAACTGAATACCCTCAGGGGATTTTAGAGTGGTCCCTGGCTCAGGACGTGTCAGGGGTGAAGTTTACTGCGGGTGGGGCTCTTACATTTCCTCAGAAGTTGCCACTCTTGGCCTATGTCAACTAATGGATTGACCGACACTGACTGGCAGTTACCTGTATTTTGCATAAAACACAGGGAAATTAACACGCTATTTCTTAGCCTACCCTTTTAAAAACATGGCTGCCCATGTTTTCCTGGGAATTACTTTCCTGTGTAATTGTACCAGCCTAAACCATTTTTTTTCTTTTTTTCAGGTTTTCTGAAGGAGCCATCTTATTCTTCTTCATCTTGTTTGCCGTCCTCCTATTCACCAGAGATCCAAAGTTCTTCCAAGGGTGGTCTGTCTTCTTCCCCAAAGGGTATGAGCAGGATTCTCGTGGACACTATGGATGAGTCAGGTTCTCACACGAGTGATGGAGGCCATTGTGCTGTTATATTTGTCACAAAACACAGAACAGAGCAAAACACTTAAGCCATCACAGAAAAGCTATTTATCTGGGTAGTAAGTATGTATTTGCTGAGAAAAAATATCATTAGAATATATGCAAATAAACATAAAGAATAAAAAGTAAAATGGTTCTCGAAAAAGTTACTGATAGGTTAAATGTCACCACCAGATCAATTAATTAATTTGCTCAATTAAATTATTTGATGAGGCATTGATTAACCAAATATGGTTTATCTAGTAGTCATGTCAACAAATACATGGGTATATGCGATGGCTACTGCAAATAGTAGGGACTTTAGGAGAGGTTTCTAAAAGGGTGAACTAAAACTTTGACAGACATAATACACCAGCATGAAGATCATTTCAACATAATTTTCTTTGACTGGCAAAGATTTTTGCATAGTATTCTATATGTAACAGCACTGGTACTGCAGTCATGCTTTAATTTGACACTGGACTTTCTATTGGTTGTTAGTGGGACACTGGATAGACGCATTTGACACATCACCTGTGTTTATGTGTGAATCATCCTTCCAGGTACGTGTCAGATGCCGTCACTGGGGTGGCCATCGTGTCCATACTGTTCTTCTTCCCATCCCAGAAGCCGTCTTTGAAGTGGTGGATTGACTGGCACTGTGAGTAACTGTCGGGTCACACTTCTTAAATTAAGCAAGGGAAGTGTCATAACCATCACAGGCATTGTGAAAAGTCTGCCATTTCAATTAAAATCACTGACCAAAAGCAAATGGCATAGTTGCACAGTTCAGATAAAAATTAACTGTTTTTTTCCCAAGCCCCAGCAAAAGCCGGTAACCAAAGCACACTATTAAGAACAATACTGTAAATAATCTGAGGAATGTAAATGACTCAGATTGAGAAGACTGAGAGGAGTCCTGGGGTGGATGAGGACTGTGGCCCTTCTGTTTGTGTGGTTATTATATTAATATTGCCAAATCCATGTTTACTTTACCCTCGCTACGGTAACCTTTCCAGCACAACCTGAGCAGTCAGACACCTCCCCAGGCAAAAACCCTCTGCGTCTATGAACTTTTTAAATTCTTTATATTGCAGAGTGTAGTGGTGGCATGATCAAAATCCAGTGTTCTCAAACCGTTACCAGTTTCTGAGATGCAACTGATTCGCTGATGTTGTTTTTTAAATGGGCAGCTCTGCTTTTTGACTAATCAGCATTTTCATTATATCGCCCTGATTCTTCTCTGCCCCCATAGCACCAAATACGGAATATGTGCCATTGCTGTCGTGGAAAAAAGCCCAAGACTGCGTACCCTGGAACATCATCCTGCTGCTTGGTGGAGGTTTTGCCATGGCCAAAGCATGTGAGGTACACATTCTCACATCTTTGAAAACATAAAATGAAACCCTGCCTAAGAATGGCTTGTTTGTGCCTCCCATGTCCAATTAAAAAAGTCACTCAACTCCTATACAACAGGCTAGATGAAGAATAAGGCTAACAATATTAGCCTGGCTACCTGCTCTGATCCTGCCTTGCACCGGGTTGGTGTGCGCCCCAGTGAATTACAGATCTGCGCCTTTATCCAATCAAACAAAACCACATTTGTCACATGACTTGATATTTAGTAGAGTGGAAATGAGTGAAACATTTGTGCGCAATTCTCACAACCGTAGCAACGAACAGTGCAATGGGAAGTGTACAAAAATAGTAAATATACAAGACAGTAATAATGAATAGAGACAAGCGCAATAAATACAAGAGACAGTAATCTAGTGATAGCCGTGGATTCCTGTAGGGTATGGGTTCATTGACCACAGTTGAGCTTTCTGATGGTCTCGTACATGGAAGTGTCCCACAGCCTACTGGGTTGGGCTCTAATGCTGCCTATGTGGAAGGTCATGGGTCCAGATCCTGTGGCTAGCTGAGTGACCTCCTCATCGCCCTTGAGCAAGGCCCTTAACGCCAATTTATTGAGAGATGCAGGCTGACCCTGCTGTCTGAGGCCAAGCTTCTCTCTCTTGGACTTCACTTCGAACAGAAGTGTGTACCTAATAAGTGAACTGTAATAGCTTTTACTGTGCAGTGTAGCTATCCCTGCCCCTGTGTGTTGCAGGAGTCCGGCCTGGCCACCTGGATTGGGAATCACATGCACCCCCTAGTAGGAGTCCCCCCTCCTGTAGCAGTCATTCTCATCACCGCCTTCGTCGCCACCTTCACCGAGTTCGCCAGCAACACAGCCACTATCATCATATTCCTGCCGATTATCGCAGAGCTGGTAATGTTCCCACCTGGGTCTCTGATGCTTGTTCTGGCTTCAGCTACCTCGCCTGTGGAACTGATTTTCCAAACAGCAGGAAATAGCTAAGGCTGATTTACGAGATGTACAGGATTTACAGGAAGCTGTTGGCCGGAAATGTATAGGTGCAGTGCGTTATAAACCAGCCTTCAGCAATATGTCTGCCTTTAAGTTATGATGAATGTTGTTTAGGGTAAGATGTGGGGGTGGGGTTTGACTAAGCAAGTGATGCAGTGCCTATAGGCTCTATGCACATAATGTACGTGACGTATTTCCATTAGACATTATACCAGCAGCTTCTGGTTTGTGGGATCAGTAGCTAACCTGAAAACAAGACAGTGATATTATGGTGAAGAGCTGAGAATATTCAGGGTTTTTTTTTTTTAAATAAAATAAAAGAAGGCAGTAACATCTTTTCATTATAATTAAGCATTTTAAGAAAAACATTTTTTTTTTTAATTATCCCAAGGTTGTCAAGTTTCACACATCTGGCATGACACACTTTCTGACTGTCACACTCACGCCAGAAATCGTACAGCAAATCAATGTTCTATTATAAACCTGAAATTAGCTGCATCAAAAGCGTTGGGGTAGTTTGCAAACCATAAAGACTATTTATAGGGTAATAAAACTGTTACATACATGCAGACTTATCTCAAATTGAAAATCTAATGTCAGCCAGCTAACCAAAGCTGATGACACTGATCATCCTTAGTGAAACACTGCACAATAAAGTATTTTAAAATAATATGGCTAATACAAAAACAACTTTATGATTGAAGTGATTGAGGTTTAACCGAGAAAACAAAAATGAAATGTACAGGGAAAGTTTTACGTGCCAGGGTGAGGTTATCAAAAGGGAGCCAATGCATTAGAAATGCACTTATTCAGAGCTGATTGGGAAAGGTGTTCATGCACTGTATGTCAAAATAGGTTTTCCACCCATACATTTGCATGGTGATGAATAAAGTAGCAGAATTATTTGAAATTCATCACTGCTGCCATTATTCAGCCGTGTTCCACTATCCCCTCATGTTGTGTCAAAAGGCATGAGAACTATTAGCTGTAAATTACTAGGATGAGTCTGTAAAGCTCATGCAAGGTATCTTTAAATATTTTCTATGCCTGTGAACTCAGACTTAGATTTAAAAAGTTATTCATTAGCGCAGACGTGGCATGTAGCCTTGATGCTTACTTTCAGTAGTAAGAAGCCTGTATCAGTTTAATATCCATTATTAGGTATCTGTTTAAATAGTAATACAGTAGTGATTACAGTAACACGCATTTAACAGGCTGATGGGTGTATTTACTATAGTTGCATCCTTTTGGCTCTATTGCCTTTGATTATTCGTGATTAACATCGCTAAACCATTTCTATTTGACAATATATTAAAAAGTTTGTAAAATACATTTCATTCACCCTACAGTGTATAAATTTACTTCATGATAGATCTTAATGTATATTAATAATTACCCCACTTTCCATGTGAAGGTTTCCTTATGCACAGGCTACTGGTCTTTCTTCACATTGTTTCGAGTGAAGTCAGGTGTGTTTTAAACTGAGATATGCTGAACACATTGTTCTCACTCAGCTTCCCTTTAAAAAACATCACATAAGGCAAAATAGCAACAACGCATTAACAAGCGATGAGAAGAAAGTAATGGTCAGTCACATTACATTACAATAAGCATACAGGGCCGGCATTTCTGGAGTGAAACAACAAAATTAAAAATGTTAATAAGACAATAGAGAAAATAAAACAATTTTACGGTGTATTGGATTAACTCTGACAAAGGAGTATGACACTACTGTTAAAAGATAGATAGATAAAAGAGTTTAAAGCAGAGCCCCGTTGTTCAGCATTTTGACAGGCCTAGAGAAACCGGAAGTTGATTTGCGGGTATATGAGAATCCAGAAGACACGCATGCGTAAGGCCTGTTGTTCCAGGGATGATCTGACTTTGCTTTCTCTCAACAATATTGCTTTGGATAAAAGCATCTTGTAAATAAACAAAATGTAAAAGCCGTGATCACCAGTCCCTCTTGTGCAGATGACACCATGACAGATCTGACCCCATTATTTGCTGTTAATGAGTTTACTCAAGGACACCTGTGTTCACAACTTTTGCCCGACGTCAATTGTGGTGCTGACATTGAGCTCCCCCTGCAGGCGAAGCATGGACAGGTGAACCCTCTGTACTTCATGGTCCCAGCGACGGTTTCCTGCTCATTCGCATTCATGCTCCCTGTGTCCACCCCACCCAACTCCATCGCCTTCGCGTCCGGACACCTATTGGTCAAAGACATGGTATGTTCCACTCCACAGACTGTTCCACCCAGATATGGACACGTTGGTTAGTTACCGTCCACCAATCGGCTCATCAGTAGAAGGACAAACTCTCTCAAATGTCAATGATTAGATCCATCACTTGGAGACCAACCAAAACCATGAAACTCACATTTACTTTACAAACACTGATATATTTTCTGACAATTTAACAGTTTATGGCCTAGGGTGCATATGAGGGAGAAATCCTTTATTATTATTGTGTATACTGGAATTGCATGAGTTTATCCTTCAACTCACTTGTGCCTTCAGTTAGTGAAAACATCTTTAAATGTCAAGAAACAAAGAGATTGTACACTGTTTTACATAAGTGACATATATGATAGATGGCAAACGAAATTCTTGAGTTGCGTTTTGTTTGGCCAGCAGGAGCTTGACGGGTCTGTATTTCCCTCAGGTAAAAACAGGCTTCGTAATGAACATCCTGGGTGTCCTGACAGTGTCCCTCGCCATAAACACATGGGGGGCACACATCTTCTCTCTGTCGACGATTCCGGAGTGGGCCCATCTTTTAAACACTTCCGACAGCGTTACAGACCTGCACAACCTGACGCAGCTCCTCGACTCCACTGTGAAAACCTCTCAAAACTTCAGCACATTCTCTTTCCTTTGACATCTTTGTGATATGTTATTATAATTATTTATGACTAATGAAATACGGAATTATTGAACTTTAGGAAAGCTTTGATAAATTTTCTTTCGTACTATTTGGTTTTTCTTTTTCCTTTTTAAATGAAAGTCAGTACAAACTGTATTGTTGTATTGCACTTAATTTTCTTTAGAAAGACCACAAAATACTGTAACTTTTAAAAAGCATACTGATTTTTACAGAAATGTGTTTATCTAGTTTTAGTAAGCTAATGGTCAGGCATTTGCTTTGTTGGGGGTTTTCAGCTCACTGTCATTCATCAAAGAAACACCCATCAAAGCTCATTTCTACCTCTCTGAAGCATACGCAACAAACTTCACCCCATGCCTACCCTAGTAATTATAAATAGATTACATTAAGCCTTATTTTTAGTTTGAGAATAAGCAGCGTGACAGGCATAACTATCAGATAATCATGAACAGGTTGCCCTTCACTGGTACACTACGCGTTCAGTATTAACTTTGTGCTGAGATGCATTTTCAGGTGTGAAAACTGAGTTGCACGTGACCCCCCGAAAGGGGCCGTGTTTGTAACTGACTGTAACTTTAGTTTTAGGGACCGATTTTGTCTCGCCCATAGATAAACAGAGATACACGCACAGGCATGTCGCGCGTGACTGCTATTTCCTGACGGTGCAGAAACACTGGAGCTGTTAATCAGCAAAAGAAATGAGGCACTTTGACAAAAGCTATTTCCGAAATGCAGACTATCTGGATTTTTAATGTAATGCAAGTTTTTTTTTGTAATTTAAACATAACTTTTGAAATGATGAATGACTTTGCCAATCGGTTTTAGTTTAGTGTAACACTACCTGTTTACTGAGTTGTGTGGTGTATACTGTAGTTTATGCATGGGATTTTTTTCGAATATGTACAGCTTTTCATTTTTAAGACAGAGGAATGTAAAAATTAAAATATTCACACAGTTTCTTCGAGTGTGATTTTGTTACATAGATTAAGACGTGAAATTAATTACAAACATGCCTAATTATCATCTGAGACACATCTGAATTCAAGCATGTAAATACACATTCTGAAGTAGCAAATTTCATTACAAAGGATAATGAAAAGATAAGGGATGTTTATTGTCATTGTAAGACATGAAGGGAGCAAAATGAGATACTCAGGTCTGATATAGGTAGCCGTGATAAAATAGAAATCAAATCCAAAACAATAATCCAATGAATAAAATTAAGCTAAAAATAAAGAATAAAAATTAAATTGTAACATTGGGATAAAAAATAACATTAGGAGAATATAATTATGAATGAGCAGTGTGAGTGTAGAAAAAAACAGCAACGTTTTGGTGCACAATTACAGTAATAACGTGCAGCCGTTAAGTTAACTATTGCAGCAAAGCCCTGACATGTAACGCTGATTATTTACAGCAGCGTTGTACCATAGATGAGAGTTCACGGAGTTCACAGAAGTGCTGAAGTTAGCAAATTGCAGCGATCTCTTTGGAGAGACTTCCATAATAGAAAAGCTGCTCTTAATTTGTACAGCTTTGGAATTATTGTGTACTTTAAGTGCAAATTACGTACATTAAGTGCACACCGGGTGAGAAAGAAGCTAGCTAGACCCTTATCAAGTATGACTTTATATCATTTTATTACACGGCTCTCTGGAATGCTTGATTCTGATTGGTCAGTTGAGACATTTGCAGGTTCGTTCTTTTCAAATAATGACCGCTCCAAAGTAATAACGCATAGCCGGTACTACTTGTATGTTTAAAATCAGTCCGCGCCAACAAAGATTATCGTTTAAAAATGTTAATTTAAAACAAATACGTCAATAAAATGTTTCAAATTTATATTCATGTCCAGTTTTTTTCCTTATGTGGCAAGTAGCTTCGCGTCGGGTCCTGATCACACTGTCGGGGCTTATTTCTGCGATAACTACCGTCTGCCTGTACATTATCCCTTACGTAAAAGCGTCAGTCCAAACGCTTCCTCGGTTGATTTACATTGCTAACACTTGGCCACTCTCCGAAGCTGCCATTACAATGTGGAAATATTGACAGCGGATGTTACCTCTAACATGTGTAAATGTGTTGGGGTTACCATGTGTTTATAGGAAGATGCTATATGGATTCCCAAGCCAAGCCCAGTCTGTATGTATGTATAATTGTACAAAATACATACTGCACAAAGTCAAATCTGTGAGCACAATTTCCTAAATATGACATTGTAACAAAGTGGTTAGCAGCATTGTGTCACACCTCTAGGGGCAGGGTTCGAGCCTCCACCCCGGCTCTATATATGTCGAGCTTTACACGCTTTCCCCTTGCTGTCGTGCGCCACCCCCCAAAAATAAAAAAAAAAATTAAAAAAATCCAAAAACAATCAACAGCGAACCAGAGACACAGCAGACTGCCAGCTCAGCATCACGGACCTCACGATATGACAGCAAGAATAAAGTTTACATCCAGGGATAAAATAAATCGATCAGCAAATTACCTTTCTTTAGTCGCTTTCACTTGCTTCAGTGTTACCCATGACGTTTGAAAAACCATATAATTAATTATAGCCACCTAACGGACAGCGGACGGCTCACAACCATTTTATTTCAGTGTGTATGAGTCACAGCCATTAATATCATTCTCTCTTTATATCGTTTTTATTTGTTTTGCTTTTATAAAGTTTTTTCGCGTCACCGTATGAAGCGTACTGAATACCGTTACACCAAGATGGTGGTCCAAGGCGACTGCACAGTACTACTGCAGCCCTCCGAGTGCGCCCCTAGTGGTCAGGCGCCCCCGGCAAATGCCCAGGAATCTGCTTGGGCGATAAATGTATCGCACTTTAGGCATCAGATTTGGCTCATTTCATGTTGCTGTGTGCATTTCTTGTATCAATAATTAGCTACGCTCCTCCAGCGCCCAAGAAAACTTTTTCAATATTTGAATAAGGGTGAGTGAAAGGGGAACAAACGCGAAGCTGATTTTATCCAAAACCTAATGATTTTTTATATATATTACACATTATTATGCAATTTCAAAACATACACACTTACACATTAGTAATTGTTGCTTATTTTAAAATATCTTTTAAACCAGGGAAGGTGTCAACCTAGCGCCCTCTATTGGCCGGCTGCCACTGAGCGAAAGTCCTCCTTAGTTGTTCTTTCAAATTTTTTGCAAAGTCATAATCACGACAACAAGGGACCTTCAAGTCTACCTACATGTTCCTTTTGGGTTAATCATCTGTGGAGGCCTTTGCCAAGTTCACTGAACCTAACTGGTTAAGAACTTGAGCCATTGACGTGCGATGTGTAATCAGTGAGCCCCAAACCCAGTGTCCCGCCAATGACATTATGACACATTGCTGTTTTTTCTTATTTTTGGACATTATGTGGTGAATTAGCAGCAGGTCTTAACCCTCTAGTGTTATCTTTAAGAGCAGCATCATGTCATAGGTTATGTTTAAGGCCATGATCAGGTGGCTCACATTTCATGGCCAAAAGAGTAAACATATCACCATTGGTGAGTAGGGTCCTTAACCCCTACTGCTTCATGGATGCTGTCTGACAATGCAGGGTGTGTGTTCCTGGTACTGCTGTACATGTCATTTTTATCTACTGTGCTTGTCCATTTATGTGTCAACGCATGTTCTGCTCCATGCTCTCTGCCTTCCCACATGTCCGGATGATGCCCAGGATGGAATTGAATTGAATATTCACCAGCACTATTCCAGGAATGGAAAAGAGGCCTAACCACAGAGAGGAAGACGGAGGCTTTTGAGGGAATGGAGGACGAGGCAACATAGTCACCGGGAGTCTAAAAAAAATGTTCATTTCGCAACATGGTGCGAGGGAAGCGACCTCAAGCTGCAAGGAGCCAGAGGTTTCAATCATCCATGAGCAGGAGACGACTCTGGGGCCCATTATAATATGCCTGTAACAGTGAAGGCCTTATTTTATTTTAACTTACGCAGAAACAATGCCTTATTTGTCCAGTAGATTGAATACCTAATATTTTCATTAGAAGAAAAAAAAATAACATAAAGGACTAGGAGAAAAGGGGGGTAAGCTGTTACTAGAGGGGACTCATTTTAATGAAAATGACTGAGACTCAGTATTAAACTAATTAGTGTACATTTGTTTGGGTGGAATAAAGCCCCTTTCAAACAGCCCTAACGGTGGCCTTGCATGGAGCTGATTTGTGAAACAGGCTTTTAAAGCGTGACACAACACATGCCGCTTTGCGTGCTGGTGCACGAGGGACGTTACATGCTCGTTACCTTCTTCCCCATGTGGATACCCACAACATGAGCCACAGCGCATGAGCCACAGTGCGTGAGCCACAGCGCTGTGGCAGTGACTCTCAGAGGTGACAGATAGCAGTTCTCTTTTTCGACAGTCAGAGACAGATCCTTCCCACAAGAGCTGTTGGAGCCATTTAAGTGCGATGTCGTCGATTAAGGAGCCGGCCTGCTGGAAATTCAGGTGTGTGTCATTTCAATTCTGTTCAATATACTTCAATTTTTGCACTCATATATCCAGTTTACGCTAATAAGATGTTGGTAGCTATGCTGGTTCCAGACGACTCACAGTCCAGTTGGTTTTGGATGTTTTGTTACATATTAGTAGTAACCTACTGATAATCAACAAAGGTAGTTTCATACACAACTGACTAAAAAAGATTATTTAGGTGACTAAACCAGTAACTAGCTGGTTACACATTTATACACAACCCTCATATATATATTATTCAGTGGTATATATAGTTAAGTTCTCCAGGACAACAATGGAAAAACTATGATTAACTGATAACAACATTTAATACATAACTATTTTATTGCTTATAAAAACTTTTTTAGTTAAATCAAACTTCACATTTTTGCACATAATTTTCCACACTGTGTTTTCTTGCAGTGATTCTTTGCTTATATAAATAAAATATATCAAATTATAGCTGATGCATTTTTTCAGCATTTCAAGTTTGAGGATCTGGTTGAAATGAAATCTTTGTCTGAATTTTTACTTTCTGGACCAGAAATTTCCACATCTGTGTGTTTTAAGCAGGAAGGACTGTCGACGTCTTAAATTAGTATCATTGACGCATCGCATTGCTTTTTCAGGTCGGGTCTTTGGCACAGAGCCAATGCGACCCTTGGGTGGCTCTGGAGCATCTATTCAAAGACCCACCCAGACGGCATCAAAGAGGTTGTGACCCTGATGTTCTTGTGTCTGGCTGTGGCGTTCCTGAGTGCCATCATCCTCTTCAGCTGGATGGCAAGCTCCCTGAGTTACGGGCAGCGCGTTTCCGGGGCGACGGCGTCCATCTACGGCGTGGCTGCCTTCATCTCGCTCTTCCTCTGTCACCCTGTCCGCTGCGTGTTCACCATGGCCTTGCCCACGCTGGGCACCAAACAAGGGCGTCGCTTTATTCTGTCAGCCGCCATTACCCTGCTGATGCTCAACGTCCTCCCCAACATCGGCGCAAACGTGGGTGTGGTGTCACACACCTTGAAATGCAGTGGGGGCAACCTAGCCCAGAGCCTGATAAATTCCTCGGAGATAATTAACTGGGCAAAAGGAGAGCTGGTCACTGCGGCGATGAAAGCAAAAGAGACAGAGCTGCAGTTTGTGCGCAGTTTGAGAAATTTTGATCACTTTACTTATATAAACCTCTCTAACATCAACCAGAGGTTTGTAAGTGTCAGCCAAAATATCGAAAGAGACTTTTCTCATGCCAAATACACCATAAAAAACATGAAATTAGTGGCCAGCAGATTTATAGCTGCCCTTTTTATTATCTATCTCTTTGTTGAATCTGCCCTTTACCTAAAATCGTATTTGACAGACGTGAAATTTGACAACCCATACATTACTGGCCATAAGAAACGTAGTTCTCATTCTGCAATCTGCAGAATCTCTCGACAAGAACTTTTACGATGTGCTCCTCGCATATTGGTCATGTCTTGGTATTTCACAGTGACCCTGTTGGTTATTATCTTGGATCACATATTGTACCATTTAGTCAGTGCCAGTAAAGCTAGGCTGCTGGATATTCCGCCGATTTCCATCAACATCAGCTTGGCGTACAAGGTAAGGATCAAACACCCTGTTAATAAAGCTGAATGTTCTTATTATATTCCAAGCAAAACTAAAAACCTCAAGAACCCAGCAAACACTAAATTTGTAGTTTAATATAATAATATTCAGTAATATAATAATATTCTTTAGACATTTATCTGGTGATTGAAAATCTATATACAGCCACCTCTCAGCTGTACAACCTGCTTAAGTTAATTCAGACTTAATGCAAAATATATCCTAGCTGCACAGTTTATGGAAACATTAATGCAAAAAGGCAACCTTATTTTTTCATTTATTTAATATGTGTTCCTTTTTAATTATATTACTAAAAAAATATGCTATATTAGTAACACTTTACTTGATGAGGCACAAATACTTATAAATAACTCAGTTACTGCTGAACAAATCATGAACAAATATAATTGCTACATGAGAAACGATGTGTCACAATTCATGAGAGTATTTCACTTGTGTTATTCATTGCTTCCTTCAGTAGTTCCTTCAGTGGTTTACAAAGGTTTATAGAATAAGAAATATAGTAAATGCTTGGGATGATTCATTAATGATGAATTAACATGAGATCAGTACAGTATGTAGCTAAGACTTAGTTTGAGGTTAATTAATACACAACTAATAGTATAATGCTATACTATAAACTAATAGTATAATACTATACTATAAACTCTGTGCTTCATTAAGTGAAGTGCTACCTATATATTTTTGGCTTTTGTGTTTTTTGCTATAAAGTGTCTTGAATGGTATGGAAAAATGCAACTATAAAATGTTATTATTGTTATTATTATTATTATTATTATTATTATTTAGCTAATGGTTTGTGAAATGGATTAAGTTGGTCGAGAACAGCCTGTACAAGTAATGAAAATACTAAAGACTGAATACCAAAAAAAGACTATAGTAATATAAAACAAGAGTAGCAGTTGTGGTAACAGGCATCTTGCCTCTCCTGTCAGGTTGAGTCCTACAGTCCATCCCTCTGTATCTTCGACCCAAGCTGTGGGACCGGGGTTTTGGTAGACTTCCAGAGGGTATATCCCTGGTCCATCAGAACTGGGTCAGAGCACTGCACCTCGGACCTATCGGCACCAGACCCCGGAGTTGCCGCCCTCCTGGGACTGCTCTACCTGCTGGCCTACAGCATGGTGTTCCTCGAGGTGTTTGCCACACGGTGGCGCTACACCATCTCTGCTTCCTTCTTCAAGAGTCAGGAGGCGATAAGACTCAAGTACCTGCATCAAAGAATACGAGCTAAGCAGGGGAACAGCAGCATTTTTTCCATTGAGACGCATGCGAGTGGTGGCTACTCTGGCCATCATCCTTCCTTTCCATTGACTGCTCACCCAGAACCACAGTGACAGAGTCACTGTACTTCTGGCCTGGGCAGCACAGGGTCTGAGGCAGTGTGAGATAGGCCTGGGCAGCACAGGGTCTGAGGCAGTGTGAGATAGGCCTGGGCAGCACAGGGTTTGAGGCAGTGTGAGGCAGGGCTGGGCAGCACAGTTTCTGAGGCAGTGTGAGACAAGAGATTCAGCTGAAATTCAGCTGAAATGAATGACATTTTATGATATGAACTGCCACTAAATAAGAAGAGAAGACTTAATTGTCATTAAATTGCTGGGAAATGTAGAATAAAACATAGCACTACTGAAAAACGCTGCTTCAGCAATTTCAGTAATTAAACTTGGAATGTTTAGGTTCCTATTGCAGTTATTAAGCACCACTGAGATAAGCCTATTACAGCGTGAAAGAATTCCAAAAATTAGCCTGAGTCCTTTCTAGCCAGGATTGCCCTACAATAAACACGGTTTTACTTTGTTCTGCTGGTGACCCCTGCTGGAATCCAGGCAGTGGCAGGTGGAAATCGACTCTCTTCTTCCCATTTCAACGTTCCTCATTCCTCATTTGTTAATTCAAATTAGCTTCATGATGGCAGCACGCCGGTCAGTTTAGTCCAGATGACACCAAGCAGGTGAAGAAAATGAATGGATGGGTAAAAATGAAGGACAACAGTTATGGAGAAAAACACTTTGAAGAATGAGCTTTAAAACACAGGTAAGTATGTAATACCTGCAGATATATATTTGACCCAGCTTCTGTGGAGTCAAAGGTAATTGAAGGTCATCAACATCAAAAAAAACTGAGAGGTCCTTCCCATTTTTCACTATAGCTTATAAAACCATATTCTAATAGTCGGAGGCAAACGCAGCGGGGAAAAGTATTCAGAAATTGCAGAGCCATAATCCTTAAAAGATGGGAAAGTGAGTTGAGAAGAGACAAGCCCCTTTAATCCACTGATCTGCCCTCTAGCAGCATCACCGATTTCACCATAAACCCTACAAATGCAGTTAGATAAAGGTCAGTCTGCTGGAGGTCATTTCCATGAACGATAACAATGAACTTCCCTCCACTTCCATGTTTAGTGGTCAAAGGCATTTCTTGTCCTGCAATTAAATGGTAACACATGGTACGAAAAAGAATGTGAGTTCATACACAAGAGGTCACGAATGAACAGAAACGCAGAGGTTGCACTGTGTCATACAAGACCTGTGCTTGTTTTTCCCACGATACACCCATCTTGTTTACTTAGAACAGCCTTAATTGCATGAATATCCTCCTGAGACCCAAGGAGAAAAGTATCCTTCAATTATAGGTTATTTGTCTTTGGAGGAAATAAGACATCTTACAATTTAGATTTTTTTCTAATTTATTTTTATTTTTAATTTGACGGCATGTCCTCTTTAGTGTACAACAGGAATAAATAAGTTTCCTTACATCAGTGAAAAGATAGATGCAAAAACAAAATGTCCACTACAATGGACATAAATGAATGGGTGGGGTCTCAGGAGGTTATAAAAGACCTAGAATAACAGTTGCGACGAATCCTTCACCGGGGGTGCTAGCTGGGCAGCAACAAGCATCAAAAATAGCACAGGAGGCACAACTGAAATGAAAATAATACAGCACTTAGCAAGGAACCTAGAATGAACAACTGCTTTTAATTACAGCGCTATGAAAGGAACACAAGGACTCAAGTATTATGCATGTCTGGTTGTAATCTTTGTGGAGACAGCTTTTAGTCAGCGCCTCGCACCTTCAGCCAAATACGCTGCAGAATATATTTATATGTTTTAAGCAGGTGCTCCTATCCAAAGCAACACACAATAGTAGGGTCAGCCCGTCCTGGGCCATGTAGGATTAAGGGCCAAACAATAAAAGCACTTTAGCGGCTGCAGGATTTGAAGCAGCAACCTTCTAATCACAAACATAGAGTCCTAACTCACAGAATCACACATTCATTTGCTAAAGGGTTTGAGTGACAAAAGGGCCACAATTTTTTTTGGAAAAGCAACATAATTGGCAAATTCGACTCCATCTTAATTGTTTTCAAAATATTAAAAATCTCTGCTTTACATTGAAGTAAACTAGTGGGTGTAAAAATTAAGAAGTATCTTCTGATGGTGCTGTTTGCTGTAACTCAAACCAAAGCATTGACTAATGAGACATAATTAGTTATAAAATTAATATGTCTAGCTTCCTTTTCAGATTGTGCTTCTCCTTTTTACTCTTTGCTGCCTGACATCCATTCCCTGTACAATCCTGACAAGGATAACGGACTAATATGTTAATTAACATTGACTGCATATGGATTTACCAGATTATTCCATTGAAGAAACAATGATACAATGATACAAGCCTCAGTTCAGAAACGGCATGGTTCGTGTTGTCATACCTTTTTGTACCACCGGGGGCCGCTAAGTATATGGAAGATGTTCACTTCCCATTCACTCAAAGAAGAGTAAATAGAATAGGACTAGTTTGTGATGTTAATGACCACTTTACTGGGGCATGAATAAGCAATGTGGGGTCACAGGCCCTGATTATCATTTTTATCTATGAGTATGTCCAGTGAATGGGCTCAGAATTTACATGAAACACTATAGTGCACATATATATTCACCCTGAATTTAATAGATACAAAGAGGCATATTGTGTGCTAATGAAGCCTAAGCTGATTATTACATACTAATCAGAGGTTCCTCCTATTTTCTTTTCTTTTATTTAATACCCTAAATTTAGATTAGGGTAATTTTATTAATGTTCTATTTACATATCATTATATTTCACCTGTTCGAGACAGCAGCTCAGCCTGCTTTCCTGGCTTATTTTGTAACAGTGTACATCTCAATAATAAAATCTTTAAAATAATCATAACCTGCTATCACAGGCATAACACAGGTATTTGACTGAATACTCTTTCTGTGTTCATCTTACATATTAGCACTGTGTGCAGTGAACAGTTCAATCAAAAATAAATTATAAAAGATGGTTGCTTAAGAGGAGCCAAAATGTACTGAATTTAAATCCTTCCTTTAACTGAAATGCTTGTTAGGGACCAATGGAACACGGCACCACTTCACTTCACTTCTCTAGTTTGCTGAGCAGCCTGACTTCAGGGAAGCTGAACCCTTCAATAAAGCCCTTCAGTTCAGTTCTGCGGCAAGAAGGCAAATATTCGGATAATTAAACTTTAATTTAAGGGACCTTATATTAATTAATGCGCCATTTTGGCTTCTGAAATGAAGGACTGGTGAATGTCCTGTTTGATTATTAAATGGGCCATTTCAAGAGATAACACAGCCATTAGTTAGCCAGTAATTTACTGGTCTCGCAAGAAAAATTGTATTTAACTAATGCAACAGGCTTTTTACTCTGTTTTAAGATATTGTGAATGTACATTCCGTTTGAGAACGTAAATGACTAGGGTTTAAGCTATTGGTGGTTTAACATCTATGCAAGAGTAGAGTTCTATATATACTGATCAATGCTAAATCGGGCATATGTCACAAATAATGGGGGTCATATTTATTCACATTTATAGTTGTGTGATGTATTAAGTCTGAAATGATCTGCTGCTCTGTGCAGCATTTCAGTGCAGTTACCTGCAGGCAATGTCCCTCTGCTTAGAGGTAATTTGAGGGTTTCAATTTTCTCTGCATGAATTCGTCAATTAATCCGTCAGAAGTCAGGAAACCATGAGCAGTTCATGGTTATAATAATACTTGGGAAAATGTATACATTTTTAGTCCTGATGTACGAAGCATTAATTTATTTGAATCATGTATCTACGCATGTATTGCTATATGTTAAGGATCTGATGTTCATTATACCTGATGTACAGTACTATGCATCATTTTCTTTGTACGGTCAAAGAAAATGATGTATAAATGATCTTCACGTTGGTGTAAAACTATGATTTCATATCTCTGAAAATACAACAGTTTAGTCATTTCGAAACATAAAATCACCTCAGTATTTGTAGCAGCAGTCCAATACACCCATGTATTTTTTAACTCGACCACTACCCCACCTTATTTGGCTAATCAATAACTCATTGAATTTTTAACTAATTAAGTTAATTAATTAATTGAGCTGGTTGTGAAATGTAATGATGCATGGAACTGCTGAAGTGCCCCTGATGAGAGGTTTGGGAACTGAAGCTGTGTTCATCTAGCCGTCTAACATGACATCAGTTACTTTTTGCATGAAACAAGGAATTTTCATATGCTGTAATATTTCATTGTGTTTTTTCTTTATTTACCAAATATACACTTTTACACTTACTACTCTAACTGCTTAAGACTTTTGCAAGTAGTATGTTTTACTGCAAGGCCTTCTAAGCCCCATAAAATAAAATAAAATAAAACACAACAGAAAAACACATCAAACATGCTCTCTCTGTCACAGTCTTTCTGGGAACTCTGCTTAAGCATTTACAACTGAGTGTTTCCATTTCAGAGAATATTCTGGCAATATCAGAAAAATTCAGGTCAGTCATTTTCTCTGAAAGCAGTTACTCAGTCTTCCGTGTTTTTTCTTTTTGTCAGGCTGCCTTTTAAATCAGAGAGAGGATTTTGGTGCCTTACAGTTTGCATTTAGCTTACAAATGAAATGCAGCTTTCACTGTGTTCCACTTTCACTACCCTATTCAGGTCCAGCTTAATGGCTAAAACAGTGAGCAGAGTCATATCTGTGACAGAAATATCTTGCAAATGATACATTTCCATTAGTTTACCCAGCGGTGTGTGTGTCCATGTTCGTGTCTGTCTGTCTGTGTGTCTGTGTGTGTGTGTGTGTGTTTGTGTGTGTTTGTGTGTGTTTGTGTGTGTGTGTGTGTGTGTCTGTGTGTGTCTGTGTGTGTGTGTGTCTGTGTATGAGTGTACATCCACATGTGTCTAGGTGTGTATCCATTAATCCTCTGCACCACACGTTTCATCCTATAATCTTCCATATCACAACAAATAGTTAACTAAGCAAGAAGCAATACAGGAACAATAAATGAACTCAAATTTGGTTCATTTCATTTTATTTATTAATGACAAGAGAAAATATCAAAAGGGACATATTCTGCACTTAATTTTGAAAAAAGTCATACTGCTTAGCTAATGATCTTTGGCTACATGTCTTAATTTAAACTTCCAATCCTCACATAAAGAACAATAAAACAGAATATTGACTCCACCATGCCTTTTTTCCATTTTTCTATTATTTACAAGTGATCAAACGTATACATAGCTCAGAAAAAAAGGTTCCCACAGACACATACTATAAAATGATGAGTAGATTTGCCTTCCAGTTCAGCACTGCAGGTACCAGCTTTTGTATCCGAATCTGCAGTTTCTTCAGACTTGGAAACAGACCCTTGACTTTAGCTGCTGTGTTTGTAATCTTCCCATCAAAGCACAATGGTTATTTTTTTGATCATAGACTCTGACCTATAAAGCAATTTATAAAGGCTGAGGCTATGGATCTGTGCCAGCAATTGGAAGGTTATTGGTTTGAATCCCATAAATACCTGGAGTGTTTCTACTGCACTGGGTCCATGATCGAGGCCTTGAAGCTGCAACTGCTTCATCCTGGGTATGAGGTTAATCTCCATCCAGCCCTGCAAGCAGCTACTCCAACTTCCAGGGAGTGACAGAGTGGTGGCAGGACTGACACTCTAGCTGCTGGAAAAAACTCACACTGTTCCGTCTGGATGCTGAGGTGTTGCCCGCCACATGGCTGCACTCAGGTTCTCATCCCTGAGGTGGTTCTGTCCTGTGATGGGTAGCAGTAATCAGCACATGCTCCTTACTTCCACTTCACTTTTATTTTTGTTCATGCATTTATTTATTTTTTTCTTGGTTATTGTATGTGTAAAGGGGGATAACTAGTACAGTATATGCAACTTAGCCAACGCTGAAATTTGACTAGAATACATTTCCTACTGCGACACCATGCGTCTATCTTACAAACACGTAACATATCCAGGGAACAGGGAGGGGGGTCAATTTAGAGATGCCAATTTATATTATTGCATGTTTTTGGATAAGTGGAGGAAGCCAGAGAACATGGAGTGATATGGTAAGAACATGCAAACTTGACATGCAGTGGAGGCAGATTTCAAACCCCCATCCCTGGAGGTTCGGGAAACTTCTCTTGGTTTTAGATTAAGATCAAACCTCCAGCGGAAAACATACAATGCGAACAGACAATGCTGTTAGTGGAGAACTGATTTCAGCTGTTATATGAACTGCTAAATTCTAGAGCATTAACAAAGTTCCTGGGATGAACTCTCTAGTGGAAAAGAAATATGCGCAAATTTCAATAAGAATGGAAGGGCACTACATGCCAAAGATATAGAAGCAAGTCATACATCTACAAGAGTCCGATACAGTCTGGTACACAAGATTCAAATCTGCCAGAACATATATATACTGTAGTGCAGTGCACATATGAAAGGACAGGAGAGGTACTAAAAGCAACACGTGTTCTTTTTCTTTTTCTGGTTGTGGAGGAGACACTATCTTGCATGCCACCCTGCAGCCATTGAATCGAACCATAGCCAGAAATAAAATTTGGGGAGGGGGAGGGATGGGCGTCTGGCCAACCTACTGATAGGTTCCCCGCAAAAAATTTTTGTAGGGTACAAATTCATAATTTTTTTATATGCCTACATGCCGGATTCAAACACAGCCCATTCTCTTTGCTCTCCATTGTGGGTCATGAACACAAAACCATCAAAGCCCTGTCCTTTGTGACATCACCACTTCCTTCTCTTCTTCTCCTGCTGCTTCTCGAGATCCAAGGCATCATCAAGGTGATGCAGAGAAACATCCAGCGAAAGAGGGCAGACGGAAGTGCTTTGTGATGGAACCCATGGACTAAAAGTACATGTTTGATATCATGTGCAAATCTGCACCACGTCAATAAACAGCTACTTTCAGATAAGGCGGTGAGGTCATCCTACCAGTAGTTCAAGGAAGGGGGTAACGTGGTATACGAATTAGGCAGCTGATCAGTTTTTAAAATTTTATAAGTGATTACTGTGCGTTTTATTATTTATGTGAGGGTCTGGTAGGTGGGCGGGACTCTTATGCTGCCGAGAAAAGGAACATTAAAAGCACCTCCAGGTCTTACAAGGTCAGATATTCATCAACCTTCCATACTGCCCTCAAACAGGCTAGGGGGAGGGGGGGGGATAAGAGATGGGCGGTAGAGGGAGGGTGAGAAAGAGAAGGTGTATGTGAGAGAGAGGCAGAAGGAGGGAGTGAGACAGTCCATCATATGCAGCATCTAACTGGTCTGAAGCTGGATAGGAAGAGCACGGCTCTCCCTGCATCACCACTAAAAATGTTTAGTGGCTATGTGCCATTTCCACCCTTTGGCATTCAGCCCAGTTCAAAATAATCAACATAATCTCAACAGTTTCCCCACCAGCTGGACACAACCATGGACCCCAAGGGACTTACATCAATCATGGAATCATGGTGAGCGTTAGATCATCTCATCCCGGTTTGTGTCTCTCTTCCTATGTATCGGTTAATTTTTAAGCTATTGATAAACTTTGGTCAGCAGTGGTGATAGATCTATGTCTCTCATTACGTAAATATTTAGAACTTAAAAATCGCACAGCACTCCGTACCAAATGCAGTATTAACTTTTCCCAAAAGGAGTAGTTAATTTTCTCCTTATCCTATCTCCAGGATTTATGACAACTCGTACGGACGCTAATAACCGCCTTTCAAGACCTCCGAAAATCCACGCAGTAGCAAGACGCACACGATGGAGAACCTAACGAGGCTTCTCGGGAAGGATACCCATATCAACTTAACGAAAAGCGAAGCGCTCATAAAGATGCCACAAAACCCCGTGGAAGTCCAGGTTACCACAATCCTCTTAGCGTTAGTTATATGCGGAGTGGGAATTGCTGGAAATATAATGGTGGTGCTGGTAGTACTTCGCACCAAGCACATGATGACCCCGACAAACTGCTACCTCGTAAGTCTGGCTATAGCAGATCTCATAGTGCTTCTAGCTGCAGGTCTCCCCAACATCTCCGAAGTTGTCGCCTCCTGGGTTTACGGCTACGCCGGATGCCTGTGCATCACATACCTGCAATACCTGGGCATCAACGTGTCCTCTTGCTCTATCACGGCTTTTACAGTTGAACGGTACATTGCCATTTGCCACTCAATCAAAGCGCAATTCATCTGCACCGTATCACGGGCAAAGAAGATTATAGCGTGCGTCTGGATCTTCACCTCGCTTTACTGCATCATGTGGTTCTTTTTGGTGGACACCAACGAGACCGCGTACGCCGATGGGGTGGTGGTAAGGTGCGGTTACCGCGTCTCCAGAAACCTCTACATGCCGATCTACTTCTTGGACTTCACGTTGTTTTATGTCATACCTCTGATCGTGGCCACCGTGCTGTACGGTCTCATCGCCCGGATTTTGTTCTCCAACCCGATCCCGGCCACCCCGGCAGAAAGAGCCGGGAACGATTCGGTCCATCAGGGACGAGCGAGCACGGTTAAAGTGTCATGCAAATCCAATAAGGGAGCCATCGCATCCAGGAAACAGGTATTTTAAAGTTTGTTTTTATCATTATCTTAATTACTTACGAATTAATGGATAAGCCATCCAATTAATAACCATTGTAGCTTAATAAAGAGATAATTTACAAGTTTATTTCTAGAATAAATGTTAAATATTATTTTTAAAACTGGTCATATTTCAGAAAGACATGTTTTTCTTTACAATGGACAGAATTCCTTATATCGGGATAAATGTTTCCAATGAGGGAATATACTAAGTGTATATTCTAATGTATTGCATAGTCTTTGCTTATAATTAATTATCTTGCAAGTTATTATTATTATTTTAATTCTGCTAAATTACAACGCGTACTTGTAAATAGTAGTGAAGACTTAGAGATTTTTAATTGGCCGTTTAGTCCCGTATTCCATGAAATAGAAAGCCCATAAATGTCAAGCTAGTATATAAGAATCAATTTATGTGCTTCTGTAGCACCCATGGGAAATTCCATTGCAGTCCGGTTGAATATTTAGCTGTAGATGTATTGGTTTGGGAAAAATAAATCTTCTTTAGCAATGGGTGTACCAGTTGATCTGGTAAATAATGCAGATCAGGAACAATTGTTGGATTGGACCCTTGGCGGGGGTGTGGGATGGGGAGGGGGGGGAGGTCTTCCGCAGTAACATTTGCAGAGAAAATGCACAAGAAAATGACAAATTGCTAAATGGTTATAGAAGAGACGCAAAATAAGAGGGACTGACTCCCCCCCCAAATAGGGTCTACAACTGCGTGTAATGAAGATCAATCCCATTGTAAAAATCTATATGAAAACAATGTACAACGTTTGCTGGGTTCAGCTGAAATTACCTTTAAGATATACCCTTACTCATATATTAATTAAATTTGGCTTATACAAAATCCAAATATACAAGCCACCTTTTTTGTATGACATGTAAAAGAAATCCTGGTCTTAGTATGAAATAAGACTGGAGCTGACTAAAGTATAATTATTCTGGCAGGTAAACGACAGTTAAACAAGATTAGTTGATTTCGCTGGGTGAGCTGTCACTCAGGCCCATATCAAATGTATTTGTTCTGTAACTGTTGGCACAAATCTATCATCCAGTAGAGCATAACGTAATCAAAATGCAGATTACTATGCAGGCTATGTTGGAGCGAAAGTCACATGCCCATGAAAGGGAGTTTGGATTTTATCATGGCTATTTATATGAGTAATAGCTTTGAGGTATGATGCTGGACAGCACTGTCAAACTGTCATGATTTTACAGTGATGTTCAGTGATATATTTATCAGCCAGATGTTTTACACAGCAGTACTTAAATATTGTTTTTATTTTACTTGGAAATTTAGTTTTGTTTTAATATTTCATGGAAAAGAGATATCGGTCTGATAAATTACAGGTAATAGACATCTTACATTGACAGGCATGTGTGGGGACCTGGGGGGGGGGGGGGGGGGGGGGGCGTGGGATGGATTGGGGATGCCTGAGCACCTGTCCCTTTTTCCTAAACAAATGATAGTGCCCCCCTTTGGTATTCCAAGTGCCAATGGTTTACAACCGATGAGGAGGACCCCTCTCCAGATTGTGAAAATGAATCGAGAGGGGGCACTCCATAAAAAAATAACAAAAATTCTACAGGTCAGCCATGCACCACTATTCAGCAACAAAATTACTTAGCAAAAGTCACACGATCCCATGCAGAATAACCGGTCGAAGGATGGGTGCATGGGTGGCTAGCAGAAGCTGAAAACATGCTGTTAACCAGATTTTAAACCAACTTTCAACTGTACAATATGCAACCAAAATCCCCATTTGCTACATACCTATTTAAAGACTGATTGTTTGCCTGAAAACTCTCCCATGAATCACAGTTTGCTCTCTAAAATACTTGCGTAATATGAATCTTTTTTATCCAGTTTAATGAATGATTTTCAGACCTAGTTCTTTGCTTCAGAGCTAATTCACATGCTTTTCTTTATAAAACCTCCTTAAGATATTAATACAACTTAAACATATTTGCACACTGTATACCATCTAGGCCTTTTATATTTTCTATATTTATTCATAGTACATTTAACTACATGTTGTACTTGCATAACTATGTACGTAATAAATAAAGGAATCTTGAACCTAATATTACTACCATGTTATATCCGCTTTGAAGGCTTTCTTGTTGTTTTTATCCTGCTTTGTCCACCACACTTTAGGTGACCAAAATGTTGGCGGTCGTGGTGGTCCTTTTCGCCCTGCTGTGGATGCCTTACCGCACGTTGGTGGTGGTCAACTCCCTTATGGACCCTCCTTACCTCAACACCTGGTTCCTGCTCTTCTCCCGCATGAGCATCTACACTAACAGCGCCATCAACCCCATCATCTACAACCTCATGTCACAGAAGTTCCGCAGCGCCTTCCGGCGACTCTGCGAATGCAAGCGGCAGCGAGCGGAGAAGGTGACCAAGTACAACGTGCCCGTCTACTACAGCGTCATGAAGGACTCCTCCCACGAGAGCCCCGAGCACGACGGCACTGAGCACGAGGATCTCGCCTCCTACGGCGTCGGCAGCCGGAAGGTCAACTTCACAGGCAAATGCGACAGTGCCAACGCCATGTTTAGCATCGCCTGATGCCGGATCCCCTCGCCCGGTTGAGATGGCGAATTTTTCCCATTGAAGGGATGCGTGATGAACAGAAAACTTTTCAAGGCCAATTAAGAAACAGTGAGTGGCAGTAGCTTGAAATTATGTTTGTAGCAGTGCTTTTACTCTTATTTGAAAAGCTTTATTTTTTAAGTACAATCATGAAGTTTAAATTATAGCAGACAATGCCTAAATTCCAAAAAGATATATATTTATGGGAAAGATTAAGAAATGGTCAAAAGTATGTGGATACTCCTATTAATTAGAGCAGTGTTTCCCAACCCAGTCCTCGGGGGAACCCCAGACAGTCCACATTTTTGCTTCCTCTCAGCTCCCAGCGCACCTGTACCAGGTATACAGTGTTCCTGATTGGCTGCGAGCTGGGAGGGAGCAAAAACGTTCCTCGAGGACTGGGTTGGGAAACACTGAATTAGAGGAATTAGCTGATCAAACCACACCCACTGCTGACACGGGTGTATAATTAAGCACACAGCCAATGGGAGGTTTTACAGAAGAGGTTAATGACTTTCAACTTGGCACCATCATAGGACACCATCGTTCCAAACAATAAGTCAGTCTGCCAGTTAGAACTGCCCTGGTAAAATTAAATGATTGAGATGTTAGATGTTAGAACATCTGCGAGCAAGTTCAGGTGTGAAATGGTCGACCACCCAAGCTCACAGAATAGGACCTGATCACCCAGCATCAATTCCCAACCTAAACAGCAGCACATCCCACCAACAATGTTCCAACATCTGGAGAAAATCCTTCCCAGAAGAGTACAGGCTATAATTGCAACAAAGTACAAACCAACTTCATATTAATAGCTGGACAAACTGGTCTCCACATACATTTGGCCATACAATGTATCATTGATTTCTTGCTAAAATTCCTCATCCAGTGATTTTCAGCAGATCCAGAAGGTCCAGATGATGTCCTCCAGGTCCACCTGGATATATTTCAAGTAAAACTGCAAATGATCCAAAAACTGTATTACATCAACAGTTAAACAGCCATCTGTTGCTTGTCATTTACAAAATATTTTTTTCTTTTAGCAGACCTGACCTCCTATTCATAGTTGAAACATATTTGTCTGTTACCTGAAAATGTTCCCAGTCATCGTTGCTTGCTTGAAAAAGCAGTGTAAATGTCAGAGGTGGAGGTCTTGTGTGCTCACTGTTTGCGTCTCACTACGGTTCAGTATCTTTCCCGAAAGTGACCACTTAAAGCACTTGATAAGGTTTAAACACAACCCAAGTATAATGGAGTTAATGATTTAACAACAACCCCATATATCAGCACAAATTGTCACAGACTGAGGAGAATATTTCATTTAAAAATAAACTTCATATATGGGAAATGCATCAAGCATTTTGAACAGTCACAATATTGCCTTTTTGTAATTTTGATCTTTAAAAAGAAGAGATGTCTTCACTGATATTGTTGCTTTTCCAGAAGGATTATTTGGTCAGAATGGTGGTGTTGTTGTTAGTAAAATATTATTACCATTTCATTGTAAATAGAGTGACATATCTTATTTTAAAGGGCTGTAAGTAAGTGCCGTTTATTTGCATTACTCATGTTACATTATGGAAGGAATTTGTACATGTTCAGTATTAGTTTTTTCTGCAAAATTTGCTCATTGAGTGTAGATTGATCAACTGAAGTCAGGCAACACAGAGAACATCTGGAGGCCACGATGCTGTAATGTTAAGCTACGCTAAAAGATAACCAAGTCTTCAGAGTAGGTGGCTGTTGAGTTGTCCCTATGAGGGGTTAACCAGGCTGGTCCCTGATACACTATAGTGACCTCAAACCAGATGCTGGTGATGTGGATTCTGACCTTCAGAAGTGCAGACATTGTAGAGAGCTCTCAGATTCTTGGCTTACTGTTTCAGTCAGCTTTTCTGAATCTTGTAATAGATGTATGAAAAAGAGCCAAGCTCCTTAAATTGTTCAGTTTAACGTGTAAGTTTGATGCCCTTGATGTTTAATTTCAAAAGGCTTGTTTACTGGAAGAATATGTCACGAGGGTTTAACAGGAAATTTCACCCAAACTCAGTTGTTTCGTGCATCCAAAGAAATTTTGTTACATGCAACTTGGAAAGTATTTTCTGAAGTATATCATCCTCTGCTATTATTAGGAGATGTGAGATGTACTGAGTTTATGGAGAGTAAAATGTATACAGTACTCTGTGCAAATAGTATTGTTTTCTTATTTTAGTGACAGTGCCTGATATGTTCAGTATGGTGGTATCACATTAATGTTAAAAGATGTAGCTGAAGGTTCCTTGGTGCTAGGAAAAGATTGTTGTCTAGATGGCTGCGAAACCTCCACAGACACAAACGCGGCAGCCTGAGCTGAAGATGGAAATGTCCGATTTATCACTATTCAAAGTGCAATGAATGTTATGCTTTGATTCTTTGTGCAGTAAATATCGCAAACAATGCATAAGATGATCAAACTTCTGTCTGAGATTCCACTGCAGTTTTTTTATTTGTTCTTTTTAACTATTTATTTGTTTAATCTGTAGGGGATTTGATTTCCATTTTGATTGCCTACCGAATTTAGGCCACGATCCTGTGACAGAAAGATAAGCACAAGACCATCATCTCACAGGTAAAAGAAGGAAACGGAACTATTTTTAAACACTATAGAAGTGAAATATACTGACCCCAAGAAGGACAATGTGTAAATTTGCCTGAAACACTCTCCATTAAATGTTTTTATCAACATGTAGTGAGGAGTTGCCACTGACTGGGAGATTAAGAAGTACACAAATGCCAAGTATTGGCTCCGGGCATTAAAATACTGCTTAGACCCCACACTGCATAAGACATGCAGTCCATGACAGCGAGAATTTTTTGTTAATATTGCACTCCTATTTTATAGGAACTAGAGAGCACTTAAATTATGCATTGTTCAAGCCAAACCACGAATATGTCATTTCCAAAGGCAGCAAGTCAAAAATATAATAGCCCAGTTATAGACAGTGTTCATTTTAGAATTTCTGTGACCTTTTTTCTTTGTGTTAATTTGACCAAAGACGCTACCATAACATGTTAATGCTTTAATGTTTTCAGGGCTTCTTGTGGTCTCAATGCTACAGAGGTTTGCTGCGGTCATTTCCGAACCTGTTTGTGTTTTCACCAGTTGCTTGCTTGCCTGTGTTTTTAAAGAGCAAACATTAAAAATTTTTGATTTAAATTAATAAGGATCTTGCTTAGTATACATTATTCCTAGCAGGAAGTATGATTATGGAACAGTACTGGGATTAGGTGAATTAAGTTTCCATCCTAATTAATAACTGGCCCAGCCTGATGTAAGGAAACCAGCTCACCATGACTGGATTGTAAGATGACATTTACATTTCACCTGGCACTTTTATCCAAAGTGACTTATAGTAGAGGTAAGAGTTAAAATGTATGCATGCTCCCTTGGATTTGAACCCACAACCTTTGGATCATACTTGTTGAACTAGAGGAGCGTATAACAAAGTCTTTTGCTGACTTTCATTCAGTCATTGTTTTCTAATTCTAAGGTACCTGCAAGCAGGACATTACTTATCTGAATGGAAGCCAAAGTAAAAAAAAATAAAGTGTCTTGCAGTATTAACCCAAGCTTATGTCCTAGAAAGGTAAAACCCAACATTGTGTTGTGATGTGCTGAGGGTGTAGCTGGCAGCTTCTGAAACCACAGCCCTATCTGCATGGTGAGTATCATGCACACTGGGGGCTCGGGCAGCGTGTTGACCACACCAATATGGGCTACAGGATGGAGCGTTTCATTATGCCAGTGACTTCCACACTAACAGGATTAATATGTACCGGGGGCAAATACAGGGGCGGGGCCACAGGGGCAGTGGCTCAATGTGAAAGCTAATTGGCTCCAGGAGTGCTGCCTCCCCTGTCACTCACCGATTCAAAACATATCATTGGCTAATGAAAAAGTTGGTCCCTCTTATGCCTCACCCCCTAAAAAAATCTCAGTATCGCTCCTGATACGTTCGCATGCAGCAGCTCTGGATGAGGGGGGGGGGAGGGTGTTTATTATGTCGCTCACCTCAAGGTGAAGTATCAAAATGCACTCAGCAGCAGAACCACTGTGCTACTGAAGATAACAACAGGCACACTTCACCATGAACATGATTTACCACACAGTCCCTGTGGCTTTACGCCTGATACTTACATAAAAAGCTCTCAAACATACAATTTTATAAAACATCACTCAGTGTAATTCATGGTATTGCAGCTGGGCTATTTCCTAAATTATTTTGTCGTTCACTTTTTGCTTCTAATACCTTTTACTTTAAGTGCTCTAGAACATATACATCAAGTCCGTAACTAATTCTGTTGAACAGTCAACTTCTAAAAAGTGGGATTTTTCAGATGTTTTCAGTTATTACTGTGCAGTCAGTTCAGTTGTATCCAGTCCATCTCTGTTAAATTGCATGTTTTCTCAAATATATATTTTGTTGTTGCCCTGGTTCCCTACACTCAAACAAATCACCGAATTTGAATTCCTAAACATACCTGGGAGATGTGAAGGCACATCTTCGGTCTAGGTTCATAGGTTCCGTTGAATGTATGTTTTCCGTCAGAGGAATAGAGCTCTTGGTAAATAGCTGTTGCTATATATAGAGTCGTCAGCCAGTCGGGGTGTTCTGCGACATGCCAGATGGCCTTGCGATACACGTGCAGCCTTTCCGTAAAGAGACAGTAATTGCAACGTTTCACAGGAGTGCAAAGCAGGCGGCAATTGTGAAAAGAGATGGTGAACCAGAGGCTATGAGAGCTAGGCCTTGCGATTACTCCTAAAGTGCCTATGCTTTTCATGATAGCTATAATAAGTATTGTGAGCCAGCTGGGGGTGAATGATGGCACGTGGGCCAGTCGATCTTCCATTACTATGTCTTTTACATCATTAGCGTCAACCCGACACCATTAGCTTAACAACAATGCTGGTCTGGGCCTAATCCCAAAATCCATTTGCCACTGGTTATATTCAAATGTGCTTCAATAAATACTAGATTAGAGGATATACGGTGAATGCATATTGTACAGACGTAGTGCTGCTGTCATTTGCCATTTTTATGTGAGGGATCCTCTCTTTGAATTTTGAATATTTTTTAGAAATTATCCTTTGCAAAAAAAGGATCAAATCCAAAGCTTTCATTTTTGTCATAAATCGTACTGTTGATGCAATAAGCCTCCATCTTCCATGCTGTTGATGCAGTACACGGTCCCTGGAGGCTAACTAAGAAGCTAATTGTGCTAACCAAGCAGCGCCGGGGAACACCCTGGAAAGGATGCCAATTCATCTCATGACACGCAAACAGCATAAAGATGCTAATTTGCCTAAACTCACTTCGGATTGTGGCATGAAACCCCCCCACACACAGATGCAGGGGCAGGATTTAAACCTCTGACTCTACAGCACCCCCTACTGTGTAGCCCTGCAACTAGCATCAATTTTATAACTACCTATATTTGTTGCTTCTAATGTCGAATCAATGCAAGAAGCCGACACACCTTCGGCATCAATTTCTAATTGTTACTGCAGTGGGGATTCAGTGCAAAACATCCTATCCATGTGATCCATGCCATTGTCCTACAACCGGGACTGAGTCATCGTGCGCAGACACGCCGGGCCACCAAGTGGCTGAGAGCGAATGCCGAGAGCTTCACGCACGATCGGTCACTTCCTGCCATGGCGAGCATTCGAGATGCTTGCTTGCTCCCGTCATGGATGCGCACAATTAGTACCACAGTATTGATCAGCCTTTTGATTAATGGACCCATAGTGCTTATACCTGCACTTCTGAGGGAGTTTTTCTTTTTTTTCGCTAATGGAATGCTTCTGTGCTCCCCTGCCGCATGATCCGTGTCTTTTTATGAAGGCTTGTGTCACCAAAAATAGGACCAGATAAAGGATATGTCTCTTCCCTTTGGATGAG